CTTATTCTTCAGGAGTGCTGTGGAGTGTCAGCCTTTGGCAGGCACAAGCTAACAGCATCCAGGGAGGGGAAGACTTCATCAGAGCAGAGAAACCTCTCCAGCCTGACTTTGGTATGACTCCAGAAAGGCTGCAATACCCATAAGGGCTCTGCTGCCATCCTTCCTCACACCTATCCTGATCCTGTCTTAGGCAAGATACCCAGTTTACACTTTTCTGTGCCACTGGTTTGTAAATTTGCTTTTTTACGCAGCGTTTTGCAATTTGAAGGGTTTAGATGTGCATTTGCCCAACAACAGGCTGCCTCAGTTACAGCAACTACTTGCCCTACCCCGTTAGCAAAGCAGGACCTGGTTACTGCCTGGATGCTGTGGCACCGGGGCTGGGTGATCCTCCAGGGGGGATCCCAGACTGCAGCAGATCAGACACACCGGCTGACAAAGCCTGCACGGAGATCAGACGCGCTTATTGGCTCAGTTCACCGCGGCAATTAATTACCTAGCACTTATCTCATTAACCACAGCTTTCATTCACCAAAGGCCAATGGCAAATACCAGGTTCTGCCCCTCCAACTGCTGCCTAAAATGTCTTTCTGGGCAGCATCTGGCCCGTGTCAGGACAGGCAGCAGGACCAGCACCCCCAGCACCCTCCGGGGCGGCAGGGGCAGGGCAGACACACCTGCCACACCAGCCGGTCTGGAGACCCCGCGGGGAGCTGTGCTGACCTCTGCTGCACAGGGCACTCCGGGTGAGCAAGGGCAGGGTCTGAATCTCTTTTAGTAAGACAAGAAAAATGTTCTCTGGGTCTTGTTTAAGCCTTATTTGTAAAATTGACCTGTATTGTTACTTAGCTGGTTTCCATCTATTAATAGAGGCGGGCAGGGAAGGCAAACTGGCCTCCCACTGCCTGCAGAATCTGAATTTAATTTGCACTTGTACTGCTAGGCAGTTATTTGGGACAACACAAATATAAAAGCCCAAAGTGCTAGGAGCTTAATAAGCTGTCACACACAGAACAGCACAGTACATTAGCCTCTAGATATTTCTGGCAGAATTACGTGACAGAAAGAGCTCAGGTGAGCTAAGGCTGCCATTGACAAAACTGATGAGAAATATCAAGACACATTTGTGCCAAGCAGGCAGAAGTGGCAGGGCAGGTGTCAGAGGTTACCAGCAGTGATGGGCGTGAGGAGCAGGACAGGAGGGCTCGGGCAGCCTCCCCAGACACCAGGCAGGGCTGATGTGCCTGTCCCTTCCCTGACACCAGGGCCATGCAGCAGCTCCCAAGCCCTGTCCCTGCTAGCCCTGACCCATCCTCTCCCCATCTCCCCACAGCAGTGGGTTTGTCCATATTAAAACAATTCAAAGCAACTGAACATCATCGACTGGAGACAAGGGAAA